CAGGAAGTTCCTATCTGATCATGGGCCAGATTTTACAGCTGGAAAATTCAAGCAGTTTCTAAAACGCAATGCTGTCCACCAATTGTTCACGTCCTCCCAACACCCTCAATGTAATGGCATGAACGAACGTACGAATCCACCCGGCTAAAGAGCAAAATAAATGAGCAGCCACAGAAGTCTTGGGTCAAACATCTTTCGGATGTCGTCGATGAATACAACAGAACCCCACATGAAGTAACACGATATCCTCCATCGTACCTCATGTATGGAATCCTCTCATACAACACAATTTCAGACGCACCAACGGAGAATGTGCAAGAAGCAAGGAAAAGTGCAATCAAGAACACGCTTGCCCACCATGACAAGAACAAGATCTACGACAAAAAATTAATACCACAAGATCTCCTAACTGGCGAATTGGTCCTCTACGAAACACCTTGGCACCCGAACAAAGGAAAGCTCAGGTCGGTCATGGAAGGACCTTACACAATTCTTCACAGAGTCTCTCCTGTGAACTATGAGATCGACCGATGCGTAGCACCGTTAAGCAGAACTACTGACATTGTGCACGGGAACAAACTGCACCACTACTTTTGTCCCAATAAGTTGACGCTCTCTCGGGGGGAGGGGGAAACGTTTGACGCTTCTTGGGTGAATGGGGGAACGGAAGACAATAAAATTTAGAATAAACTGCTGGTGTTCTGACTGACGCCATGTCTCATCCGTTACCTTAGCGGTTGTCTTAATTTTATTACCAACGGTTTCGACCGGTCGACCGGTCTTCGTCTTGTTCGCAAACCCTATATATTATATATATATATATATATATATATATATATATATATATATATATATATATATATATATATATATGTGTGTGTGTGTGTGTGTGTGTGTGTGTGTATAAAAGAGTGTTCCACACTCGCCGCCATGGCCACAGGTGGCGCTGACTGACACTCCTACGTTTAAATTCACATATAAACCCAATAAAGTGGCTTGGGGGATAGCCGGCGTGATAGCACAGTGGTATAGCATCTAACGCGTTATTCGGAGGTTGTAGGTTCGATTCCTCCTCACGGCAAGTCACTTTTTCAGCCCCTTCTCTTTTTTCTTATTTACACTACATTGGTTCTAATGACTTCCCCTATACATTCCTTGGCACTATTGTCTGTTAGATCTCCTTATTATTGTGTCGAAACGCGAAAAAACGAGCCCTTAGGTATACATTTCTTCCCCTTATTCATTAACGAGGGACTCGTACTGGCATAATTGGTGCCGTTAGGTTGTATACGAGGAACTATTGGTCAGCTGCCAGCTCGTAATAAGTTCTCGTGCTAAGTGACGCCATACAGGCTCATAAAAGAGTGTCCCACACTCGCCGCCATGGCTACAGGTGGCGCTGACTGACACTCCCACGTTTGAGAAGCGATTGAGAGAAATGGGGGAAGAGCGTTGGGCTAGGAAGGTTTTCAGCTACTTGTACATGAAGAATGTCGATACAAAATGGAGGAAGCGAACCAGGAAGTTGACTGGTAAATACTTAGAAAACAGCAGGTGGCCAAACCAAAAAGAACTATCGGTTAAGAAAAAAGTGAAGGAAACGGAGACTGACATGTGGAGAATGGGCATGATTAAGAAGTCCGCACTAGAGATCTATCGAACTTTTAAGCAGGAAATTGCCAAGGAAAGGATCTATGATAATACTCGGGGTAGTTCTCTACTGTTTGAGGCCAGGACGGGAGTACTGCGAACCAAGACATATCGGGCCAAATACGAAGGGGTCGACACAGTATGCAGTGCGTGTGGAGAGGAAGAAGAAACTGCCGAACACTTGATAATGTTCTGTAAAGGGCTTCAGCCTATAGTTCAGGATGATGGCGCGGAGTTTTTCAAAGCACTGGGATTTAGGGACAGCGAGGGCAAAATAGACTTTAAGCGGGTAGACTTAACTAGAAGGAGGTTATCTGATTGGTGGCTAAAGTCAAGGCACGAGTGAAAATTAAACCCTTCACTGCGAAGTACGAATCCTCATCTTCATTATTTAAAGGAAAAAAAAGATAAATGTAATGGTTAGTTCACTAAGTATTACGGCTAGGTGGCGTTAGCCGCCGCCCGATCTAAAGGGTACAGCCACATCCATCCATCCATCCATCCAACGTTTAAATTCACATATAAACCCAATAAAGTGGCTGGCGGATAGCCGCCGTGATAGCTCAGTAATAGAGCATCTAACGTACGCGTTATTTAGAGGTCGTAGGTTCAATTCATGCTCACGGCAAGTTATTTTTCAGCCACTTTCCTTTTTTATGTACATTACATTGGTTCTAAAGACTTCCTATATAGACCGTTTCGCCAGAGCCTGCCGGTGTCTGCCAACATTGTGCGTTCACCGGGAAACCACCCCTGAAAACTTCCGATATAGCTTATTTTTGCGTGGTTTTAGCGTTTGCTGCTGGCCACGGCTGCTTGTGTTCCGATGTTTTATGCAGATAAAATGATTTCTATGAAGCGCTGGCAACTCGAGCACAGCTGTGTCAAGCCAGGATGCAGTCTACATGCCTGATATAATTTTATATGCTAGTCAAAACGTTCCGTTTCCTGACCGATGACGATAGAAAGAGTACCTGCATTGCAGCGATCATGCGAGAAAGCTGCATTCCCACCAAGAGCGTGTAGGTTTGCTCTGCCGATTTCATCAAAGGTAATGTAAAGCTCAGCGCGGACTAATGGCACAGAGGCGATACTCAGACGTTGGTCTAGTCGAAGGCCTCCATTACCGGTAAAACATCAGTCACTCTCGTCTTCCAGCTGTAGCAGATAAGTGTACTGACGCGAGAAATAGGTAGCAAAACGTAGAACTTACACTGAAAATCCATCGCAAAGGTGTTTATTTCATAGTTTCAGCTATATTAATGATGCGTTCTGTTCGAAACAATGCGGGACACAAAGTAACCGCGCTTAACATTAATCACCGCACAGTGTACGCCATGGTGACCACGTTTCGTTGTCGTTGCACTCGATTTTTTCGAAAGTGACGTTGGCGAGTCGGCTCTCATCTGTGCGAGCAAATGACTCATCGTCTGTCTTTCTGCCGCTAATAAACATCGCCGCATTCAAGCTCACTTATCTTTTGTGTGTGATGATGAACTGCCGGCTTAGGTAGGTTCAACTTGAAAATTTGGTTCATGAATGCACTCTAAAAATGTTTACACCCATAGGGGTGTATTTGTTTTGTCCATGCATGGGCAACACCCTTTTAGAGTCTCTAGGAACACTCTAAACAATAAGGTGTTTAGAAACACCCTGAAACCGTAGGGTGTAAGGAAACGTTAGACCCTACTTTAATAGGTATTTATGAACACCCCTAAACTATGGGTGTTGGATGAGGCTACACCCATACGAGTGGGGTGTACACTGAAAACCCCCTTGAAACGATGACAGTTATATGGATGAGCATACTTGATCAAATGAAGCGCAATTAACGGGCAACAAAAGCGGAGACACAGGAGGTGACGCTTAGACTTGTGTGTTGAGAAGAGCCATTCACAGCACTTCATTCCATCAAATACGCATCACTAACTGGCCCAAGCTCAATTGTTCTCAGGAAGAAGCATATATGAACATTCTCTGCGGCTGACAGGGAAGAAGAAAGATACTGGTGTCACCCACTGCACTTATACCTGCATGCATGCAGCTAATAAAATAAGGTGCCATGGTCTTGAATGAACTGCATGAGACCAGCGTATATATGTGTACGTAGACTGGGCCGTAAACGTCAAAGACGCGAAAGACACTTACGCGTGCGCGCGCACACACACACACACACACACACACACACACACACACACACACACACACACACACACACACACACACACACACACACACACACACACACACACACACACACACACCACACCACACCACACCACACCCCACCACACCAAAGTAGTGCAAGCAGTAACCTGCAGCGTAAGGTCCAACCGATCATAACGCCGAAGCAAAAAAACAATTAAGCCCATATGTTAACATCTGCCTTTATTATAGAAAAACTGCAAATCTGACAAACAGGACTCTGATGGCATTCTGCAAAAAATTTTGAAATATGTCACGGCACCAAGTTTCTTTCTCTCTATGCTAAAAATTCATTGTTTTCAATTCAATAAATCTCCACAACTTTCAAAACACTTGCGTTAGTCAGGCAAACGACTGAGACGTATGGCATTCGATTGACACCTATGCAATAGAAGAAAAAAACACGTGGAAAGAGTAAGCGAGTTTCTGGAGTCACATTTACAACCTATCACATCTTGCAGTATAAATTTCGACATTAAAAAAGAGAATATTCAACAAGGTATTGTAATTGGGGTTGTACTTATGTAATGTCAGTGTTGATATACTTTTAACTGCAAAACCACTCGTCACTGCTGCTTTCACAATCGTCTTCAGCTGCTGAGATGACTGGTGCCTTCGAGAGAAGTGGGGCGAAGCTGTTCTTTCTGTACAGGGAATTCAATCCCGGAAACCTAAAATAAATACACAAGGAACAATAACTGAAATTTAACAAAAAGTGCAACATACAGTGTGCACCATGCATAACTAATTGCTTTCTTATGTGTAAGTATAAATTGAGTGCATAGCAAGCATATTCAGTGGCATCGGGCTCCACTGCAGTGAGAAATGCTAGACAAGATGGTGAGCAATAAACGCCATAAAAAGTGCGCTGTGGCAGAATCATTATACGTTTCGTGCCGTAGATATGAACTTTACCCTTTCAGCTTGCTCGCGCAGGCAAATAAAAAGGTGCTGCTCAAAGTTGATAATGTTCCATTAGCTGCATGCAACGACCAATCTAAGTGAATGTCAAGTTCTATGCTTAAGTATGCATCAACACAGCTGCATGTGTATTTCTGCAAATCTACCATGGTACTCATTCGATTAGTTTATTAAAAGGAATACAGTTCGACGCGCAACAACATATGCATATTTGATCTGTATTGCACAAAAGCACAATTCGTACTTGCATAGTCTATAGGTTATTGCAACTAATACAAAAATGTTTGTATTGTTTCACACAACAGTCTGCTGTGTTGTTCTGCACAACAGTATGCCGCTGCACAGGAGCGCCATGCAGCCTGCTTGCAAAATATAGCAATGAAGAATTTCATTTATGTTATGCCTGCCTGTGAGTGTGAGTTATTTGTGTTGTTTGACGGAGAGTTTTGTTGGCTGGACACACTGTTAATTTAGTTTCTGGACACATCTTCATCTGCAATTCAACACAGGGTTCATAGAATGATTACAACGTACTATATGTTTTGCATAGGTAGCATGATTTTGTGGAATGAATGCAATCATTCATGGCTAGCTCCCTAATGTACCTGTTTGTTATGTACACAACACCAAATTGAACAGGAGTCTAGTTGAACAAAACTCTACACAATGAACACAAGAATGGAGTGTGCAGCAAACAAAGGCACAAAGAGCACATGTGAATCACGGCACTAAAATTATGAAGATGGGACAGGCGGAACATACACACGCCTGTCCTATCCTTGTGATTTGAAGAGCTACGCTGAACTTTATGAAAATGTTACACCAACAAGGCCAAAAATTTACCCGTGCTAAGTTCACATGACATCTTCCCTTCCCCCAATTTGCTGATTTCTTTTTGTTCAGCCAATCTGTACATGCAAAAATGTTCCAAACGACGTGTGAATTAATGAGTGTAAAAAGTTTACTTGGACTTGCAATTAATAAAGTTGCATATAAGTATTAACTCCTATGCAGGTAGCCGTGAGCATATGTTGGCAACAAATCAGTGGAGGTTGACCAGTTCTTCAGCAGTATACATCCTCGAGAACATGTTGTTCTTGGAAGTTAATGGTTGACAATAAATAAATCAATATTCCAAGTCCCCCGCCCCCCAGATCTGTCGCCAAGCCACTTTCAAGCACTGTTTATATAGAAGCTATACCTTGTCATCAAGCAGTTAAACTCAGTCTTGAAACAAGCTGCACCGGGGGCAATAGCAGCATCCCCCCTTTGCAGTCTTTAAACCTCTGAACTCTTTCTGCCCATTTTACCAATAGGAGTGGTGTTGCAATACCCCAGTGTACTTTGTAGGAGACCTTCCTCCGATCATGCGCAGGTGTGTGGTCCGTGAACGTCTAGCCCAAGGTATACCGAAAAGCTCTGAATGTTTGAGTGAAGTCATCGGTAAAGTGTAATTCAAAGATTGTAACACAACTTCCGTGGGCAAAAGAAATGAAAAAAGGTCACCGAAACTTCAAGAACGTAAAAAGGATGTTGCTTACGTTTTCAATGCAACATGTTCTGACACAGAGCTTGTTGAACGCTGCTGAGTGACAAGAGATAGCTGCTGCCTGAACAGTTTGACTACGCCACCTCGTGTACAAATGTGAGAAAACAGAAAACTTTTCGAGTCGCGGTCCATTCGTTACCATGTATCAGCTTCCAGCAACCCCGGCCTTCTATCTATAAATGTTTACAAGAAAATATGTGACCAGTGAACTGATTGAACTTTGCACACTTATTGCCAGCATATACTGAGAACGCTACCTGCATAGATGGTAAAGCTTTCATGTCATTTTCTTATTAATTGTTGTGCAAGGCCAGAGTAAACAATTTACAGTTAAGCCACAAATCCAGAGTGTATGTGGGGGTAGTTTGTGTGTGCGCACTGTGCTGCGTTATTTTGCAGATGTGTGAGTCATACCTGCTGCAGCATGCCAAATTAATAATTGAATACACTACTACACGCTTCTTTGAACACAACTTTGGCAGATGTATTCAGAAACATAATTGTAAAAAGTGCTAAAAGCCCGCTTATGAAACAGTGTACATGACCCATGAACAGCTCCACTTGGCTCCTTTCTAAATGTCTGAAAAGGAAGTACAAAAAAAACTATTGTAGCAGCACCAATCTTCAGTGTTTAAATCAGTATGGTGTCTACTACGTACATCACCTCTATTCATACCACTATTTCATGAATCACAAAAGCAGACGGTATTTCTGGACAAGAGCTGATCACATGCAGAACAAGCAGCAGTATGCTACGAAGACCTATTGCTACAGTAGACAAGAACTCAATGTTAAACAGGCTAAACTCTAACTGCAAAAGAAGTCATAGACTAGCTTAAAAATTCCATTTAATTAGTGCCATGGTGGGGCAGTTACAACTTCTGTAACTACTAACACCATGGAGAGCTATGTGGGGTGAACGAAGGAATTTTGCATTATATTATGAAATCTTACACAAGACAAAGCATATTGTAAACCACTGCAAAGGCCTACGTGCGGCAGGGAACATATTGTAATGGCGTCTTTGTAGCGAGAAACAGGATCTATGAGATAAGATGATGAGCACTTTGTTGTCGTTTCCGTAGCCAGAACTCTGTCACTGCGCGTGACAGAGTGCTGGATGGGTACACGTCGCCTTATTCATAACATCATGGTGGAGGTATTAGCCTGATGAAGACAATGAATAACGCATCAACACAAATGGTGAGCACTAAATTAAGAAGCAAGGCTTACATATATAGTTTTTTAATCAAATAAACACTACATGACAGTTGTACATCTTATTACGGCAGGAGCTAACATGAAGATTGGGGCTTGAATGCATGTCATATCGCTAAACTAAATGTGTTGTTCGAGCCATTACTTGAATAGGACAATTTGTCTATGTTGTGACAGCAACATTGCTGCAGTTTGCTGCCTTGGTGAACAAAAGTTCTCTTGTCGAATAACAAGCTCCAACATTCGTTCAATGATTTTTTCATCAGGTATACATCTCAACACATTTATTACAAATCCTCAACTTTAACAAATACTTCTATTGTAATGATACTGGGTGCAAAACTTAAGATGCAGAGGACACGGCGTTCCACAGGGGTCTGGCTGCTCATTAGTTTTTTAACACTATGTCCATGATGCTAAAAATGAGTGATTCGACAAGAGGACAACCATTTACCAGAGAAACGAACCGCATCAAGGTTACTGCCATGACTTAGACAAACTATTTTCTTTCAAACATTCAAAACAACCTAATCTTAAAAACTCTTACTTGACTCCCAAAACAAACTTTCTTTAATGATTTCACCCCAATTCAAGACCCCCCTCTATCATAATCTTAACTTCTGCCATAATAAGACAACTGTCATGTAGTGTTCGATAGAATTTTAGGATGTAGACAGTAAGCATTTCTTCTCAATTTGATGCTCACCCTTTACGTTTATATGCTTTAATCACTGTCTTATCAGCTGAATAACCCAGGGTAAAATGCGTGAAGGCGTCTTCAATGTTTAGAGCCAGAAGTATTTTTAACTCTTGGTAAATGCCCTTAAAACAAACAAGTAATTTTATTTTACAAGAATCACTCTTGTAAAATATATACAAAAACACTGCAATTTGCCATGTTTGATTTGATTGATATGTGGGGTTTAACGTCCCAAAACCTCCATACGATTATGAGAGACGCCGTAGAGGAGGGCTCCGGAAATTTCGACCACCTGGGGTTTTTTAACGTGCACCCAAATCTGAGCACACGGGCCTACAACATTTCCGCCTCCATCGGAACTCAACCGGATTGAGTCCCGGCAGCAGCCGGGACTCAATCCTGCGACCTGCGGATCATGGGCGAGTACCACTTCGCCATGTTTCTTCACGACCAACATTAGCATAAATTGAAACAAAAATTACTTCGATACCATAGCTACGAAATTTGGCTGACAAAGAAACAAAGACTGTGGTAAAAGCATGAAGCAACAATCATGCGTCAGTTATTTTTCTCCCATAACGCGATTTCTGAGCACATGACTTCAAAGGCCTCCGCTGTATTAGAAAGTTTATACCCAAAAATAATGCTGGAACAACTTCTTCCCACATTGAGGCATCAAAACGCCAGTTTTGGGAAATATTGCAAATGGTCAAGAAACCACTTCACAGACTAACATGACAAGACCATGAACTCGCAAATACTTACAGGTTAATGCTCAGTCATAGTTTCTAAGGCAGCCCGATTGCTTCTGTGTGTCCATCTGTACTGTCTTCCGTCCTCCCTTGGGCCAGCTTTTGTAGAATGTCTGCCAAGAAAATAAAAAAAAACATTAAAAACAATTCACTTTTTCTTGCATGCCCCATGTAACACAACTTGACTTTCTCGGCCTCATGGGGTAGCAGTCTCGAAAAAATGCTAACAGCTTCTGCTTTATACATGTATATCTCACCCCCTTAAGAAGGTTCCAAAATAATGTCCAGTCATTGTTAAGCAAGAAGTCTAACAGAAGAAAACATAAACAAGATTCTACACTAGACATAAATTTAACTTCTTAATACTCAGTAAATAACCTATTTTCCTTACGCATTATATGCATACATGTTGAAAAGACTGGCCATGCAAACATGGCCGCAGGTGAGTCAACAGACTTCTAATGCCAACTAACAATGAGAAGGCAGACTAACGGAACATTTAAGACAGTTAACCAGAGGCCCATCATTAAACCTATCTTTATATCACGACGTAAATGCATGCCAAAATTTGAATCATGCAGTTTTGTACAAGCACAGAAATGAAGAAATGCATCTAATAGTTGAGGCTTGGCATAGCAACATGTGGCAGTGCATGTGTGAGCCGAGCATCGAATAACTCAACGAAGAAATCAAATGCTGAGCAGTTATCTCTCACATAGACCAACAGGCATGAGGTCTTGATTGATATCTCCGCTTGGCTTGTTTCGTTTCTCGCTTAATGTCAACTTTTCCAGTTAGTGTTTGCGGTGTCTTGACTACTCTCTCGAGTCCATGTTTGCTTGCTCTGCCTTTTTAACATGAATACCAACCTACTAGCAGCTCACCTCTCCTATTTGAAATATGTATACAATCTAGAATTACCACTTTGTTCACTTGATGTAACAATATTATAGTGGTTCTGAATGTGAATGTCAATTCAAAAGCACCAAGGCCTCTAGCATTTCCGCCTCCTTCAAAAGTGCAACTGCTGTCCTAAAGGTCAAATCCACTCAGTGTGGGGGTAGTTCATATGATAGCATAGCTGTAAGCAACCTAAGATACATTTTAGGACTATTAAAAGAGCTCTAAGTGAAAGCAAGGCATGCAACTAGCAAGGAGCCACATAATATCCAGCCTAGAATCTATTTCTGGTAATATATAATGCTGTGGTGCAGGCCATGCATCTCGGCAACTGTTCAGCTTTTCTCTGTGAACCAAAGCTTAGTAGAGTCAATATTGATATCTACAGATTGCTCTGAAAACAACAGTTAGGTTGCCAAAAAGTAAAAGCTGAAAGACCGAAAAAACTTCACGACTAATAAAATATTAAACACTTATTGATGCAAGTGCACCCAAAACACCATTTTAGATGCGCTGGTTGAATAGGTATTAGGTAAACAAAGCAGCAAAGGAATGAACTGCCAGATATGTAGCTGCAAAAGGGGAGAAAAAAGGTGGCTCTAGTGCCATGAAAAATCCATGAAAGTACTATCAACAGGGAAAGCTCGGTAGATGTTGAATCCACAACAAATGCGAATTTCCGCTATGTCAGTACCTAACGCTTGTAATTAGACTGGTGACTGCATAGCTCGGAATGCAAAGCGCAGCATGTAATATTCCTTTTAAAATTACATTCTCAGACCAAGTGAGAATTTAGCTTCATAGAACGTTTGATGTCCTGCAAACTTTTGCTGTTGAAGTTACATATTGAACATACAGGAATGTTTTGTGTAATGAACACATAAATATTGACAGAAGCTGCAGACTATTGCACAGATGGGCATTGCAAAATATAAATGAACAAAACCATGCAGTGCATAAATTGACCGTTCATAATTGAAGTGTAAAAAGCTACTAAACAACCCCACCATCTGAAATTTCTGATAACTGCAAAATTGTAAAATGTGAGCACGTTGCCACAGAGGTTGTGTTCACATGATGAAATGATGAATCCACAGCTAATGAAACACACATTGTAGCTGTTTTCAGATTCTCACTCGGCTTCTCCATCGTTCTCATCGTGAAGAGGGGTATGCATACGTTACCATAATGACTACAGTCATATGGCAACAAAGCATGACATCAGTGATTGTGCAATCAACATGCAGCCATCAACTAAGCAAGGCCTTGTTGATGTGCCGCTGTGCTACATCGGCATGGTGACGAAGTAGTGTACAAGGCATTAGTGAGATAAACAAATATGCAGCACGCCTCACTACGACACAATCTATACGGCGGAATTTTAGGGTCAAAACACTATTTCATATTGCAGAGAGAACCAACCGACAGTTAGTGCAAAATCACATCCTTTCTTAGCGAGGATTATACACTGCTCAGGCAATTAAGGGGTCACCATTATTGTCTTTCGAAATGAAGTTTCTGTGATACCCACATAATGCGATTGCTGCAGCTCTCTGTATGAATGAGAAAGATGGTCTTGAAGGTGATAAAAAAGAAAGACAGAGCCAAAGCTGCCTAATGGCCTTTTGAGATAATATAAAACACACTGTGCAGGGAAATATTTTTGCCGAGATATTCCTATAAGCTATAAAACTGACAACTAACATGCTCACTCTATGCAACATAGGAATGTCTCACACCTTTGCAAGAACTTTACTGTGGTGGCTGCACTGTCTGTATAGGCCAGAAGCAGCCGGCCCGTGGCTCTCAGGCATCTGATTCGTTCGTTGAAAAGAACCTGTGGCTCACATCCTTGTAGCACTGCTTTTGGGCGGTGCTTCCTGCGAAAACAGAAGTAGCACAACAAATTTATGCTCTGTAAACAGTCATATAAAATCCACATTGGTGCCTTAAAAATTTTTTTCGGCTATAGACTGAACCGCAGCAATACCCTTATCTGTTATAATGGAACACCTTATTGCTTTCCCTTGCCTGGTTTCTTGTTTTCACCCATGAGACAACTTAGCAGAAGTTAAGCTTTAGTTGGGGAGGAAGCAGTTGAAAAGAATGAATTTAACATACAATATACAAATAATGAAACAATTTTGCATGATATAAGAAGTTTAATTTTCACAATGTCGCACCACTAAGAAATGAGTGAGCAAACTGTGACGTTAAGTTGTCACAAAATCATAGAGTTTCTTGAAAATGCAATATACAGGTAATTCTGCAATTGAAATGTGCTGTTACTACTGACTCTGTAGCTGCAAGTGCCTGCTGAATCTACTCGAACGCACTTAGCAAACCTGTGTAATAGTATTCACAGAGAAAACCCAGTTCTCACTTAGCTGCCCCCATTACAGCATCATGTTGCTTCACATAAGGGTTCCTGGTATGCAGGATGCAGATGCTTGAACTTTGTGGCTGTGTCATAGCACAGTGAATGTGATCGACATCTGCTTGAATTACGTGAGCAGCTGAAAAATGCATCATTGTGCAATTAGCTGTAACCATGCAATATTGCTAGCTATCAGTCGCTTCATCATACACCCACAACAAATTTTGGCCCCAGCAAGATTTCGCAGTGTATACAAGCTTCTGAACACAATATTCAATGCTACCAGCTGCATTCTCTCTTTTTTCTATCTATATGCATAGAACGTGCACAATATAGCCAATAATTGCACCAAGTGGAAAAGTTCATTTTAGGTATTCTATAAAATTCATAGACAAGAATCAGGCACATCACTCAAGCCTGTTGTTTAGCATCAGAGGTGGAAGTGTCCTTGCAAACGTACATAGAAAAATTAGCAATTAACCTCGAAATTGGTATAAACTAGGTTTGTGTATGTTAGAAACAAATTGCATACAGTAGGGACAGTCCAAGAAACTGCAATGATAAGGTTGGAAATTTCAAAGTGGGTCACGATTTTTCACACTACTAATGCATTTACAAGAAAGATAACAATGCTTGCTGCAAGAAACAATAAAGTTTTACAGTTTTTGCGAAATTCCACTTGCCAGTACCCCACTTTACAGAAAGGCAACACTTTGCGAAACCAAGTCACGTTTTCAGACGAAATACACTCGCCATGGTGACAAATAGGTGAAGTACTCTTCTACAGCGTGATTTATTGGAACTAAAAACTTTGATAACAATTTCTCATTATAGCTAGCAAGAGCCTTTCTACTGTTGTTTATGTGAAGCAATATTATCTCATTGGGAGGTCACAAGAATAAGGGCCACATATTAATGAGCGCAAAAACACAGTGACTGGTTGTCACAGGTCTCGTTAATTCGGGAGGCGATCGCCGGGCTAATTCCAAGGGCCGAAGTATCGGCCCCCCGAACCGCACCACGAAAGCGTGAACAATTTAGAAGTGGTCCTTTTTAGGCGCGCCCGCGGACGCCGGCTGTGGCCCAAAGAACAAGTCAGAGCCGAGAGTTGATAAACCAACAAAATTATATTCTAAATAATGGCAGATCTTAAAAACAATACACAAATATGCTCACTCCACAATAGCTGAGTACAATATGTCCCCGATCAAACAACGTACTGCACAGTACAATTAGCCACACTTGAACAACGGACACAGACACACTACAATGCAGTCGCATGCATTAAACAACCAAGACACTTAAACACTAAAGAGATAGAAAACCTATTCAGTCCAAAGTCCTTGGAACAAAAGTCTGAATGATACTCTTCCGAGAATCACTCATTCAAAGTCCAGCGTTGTTGCCGTTCCGCTGCCCCGAAGTTTCTCTTCCAGGAAACCTCGCGTCTTCAATTGGCCATTCTCCAAGCTTCAAACTTCTTCGCCGGAAACACGTCGGTTTCACAGACGCAGCTGTTGCCACGCGTCTTCGCTCGATAGCGGTAAACACACGCTCTTGCCTGTAGCTCGAGCCTTCACCCCTCAGGTGGAAATCCTCTTCTTCTCCTGCTTTGCCCCTACGGACAAAACCTTCGCCGACTACACGGCGGGATACCCAATGTGCTCTGGCGCTAACTTCCGTCTTCTCCTGATCTCTCATCTCCACTGCTCGGTTAAATACCTTCCGCGCGACATTCCAGAAGGTTCTCGTCATTTCGTCGGCGCGATACGCAGCGAAGGCTGGGGAGAGGCGCGAGACTGTACGAGGGCCGTCCCCGACCGATGACTCAACCCGGCCGAACACGCCCCTTACCTTCTAGAACTTTCCAGTGCTTGTCCGGCCGCCGCTGTGGGGTGAGGAGGTTCATCGGCGAAGCCACGCTTCGAGGGGAGAGCGTCGCGCGCCCGGGGAGCCTTTAGATGGTTTTCTTTTTTTTTCCGTCGACCTCGCGGCGTCATTCCGGCGCGTTATCGCAAGAATTTGGCGGCGCGCCCATTTTAAGCGCTCGTTCTGTGACACTGGTTGTGCAGCAATTTTCAACTATACTCATTCAGGGAAACCATTGCACTTCTCCCTCAAACAATGGTTGCACATAATTAACACTCTGGCATGAATAATATTAATTTGGTAGGTAGCATACATTCTGATGTTACTCTATACCTTCATTTATTTTGCAATATTTTCACTTCGACATGACTATAGCTCAAAACAACACCCTTCTTCATTAAATGGGACTTCGTACATTACCTTAGAGTTAGCCACAAATGCTGAATAAGCACCTCTTATGGTATGCTTGGCTCACCGTGTGGTTAGCACTGCACAGTTCATCAGGGCACTACTGTTTGCTACCTGCAGTACGCAGCAAAAACTTAGGCATTCAAACAAAAATAAAGCAAGTATGGCAGCAGCATTTCGTCCTTTGGAGATGGAGAGGGCGGAGGAGTAGTGCAGCATTGTTATTCATAAACTGTTCTAGTTAGGCGCATGAACTGTATAAAAGAGTCAATATTGTCACAGGAGACAAGTGGCCGCATATTTGAAACCCTCCAAAGAAGGCAGAAACACTCACTTGGGATTTTACAGTATGTATTCTGTGCCATCTATAAAAAGTATGCAAAGTGCTGAATTTCATAGTCAAGAGTCCGACGGAATCCCGTCTGGTCGGGGACAAACATGGTGCAAAATAACAAAAACGCCGACCATAGTGAAATACACAAAAGTTAAAAAAAATTAACTCTTGTGTATTTCACCTTGGTCGGCGTTTTTATTTCGCACTATGCTGAATTTCACTAATACTTCACCCTACTAAGCCTATGTGAAGCGACAACGTATTGTATTCGCTTCGCTGTCCAGCTGGTGCTCCCGAAATTTCCTCAAGTTGCACAGACAACAAAGTGGTCTGGCCAAATTCAACTATACCCATTCCAACAACCACCGCTGCCTTCAACTCCAAGTGACAGCACCAAATGAAGCCTTTTAAAAGTGGCATGCGACTAATGCTAAGTACCTAAGCGTTTGAATAAAAAAATGCAAGTATATTTCAGTTTCATGTTCGATTTCTATTGTTAATTCTTAAGCATGTCACTTTTTCTCTGATGCTGGGTATTGAGATAAAGGCGAAATATTTTTAAAATGTAGTATTACAATAAGTTTACCAGCAACAGTCATACTACATTATACCAAGTAGTGCCAGCGATATCCCTGAAAACATTCAGAGCAAAGTCAACGGCATATCTCAGAGACCTTCACAGTCTTTCATTGAGCTGCTGATAATGGTGGCAGCCGCTAAATGAACTTTGAACCCCTTCTTTCAGAAACCGAGTGAGCTGCTTTTCTTCAAAAAACTTGTGGGCACAAGGTGCAGACATTGAGGGAAGTAGATATAGCCCCGGCAACGGGGACTATACCGCTCGGAGTTGATGTGCCGGCACTCTTGCCAAACAGTTACAGCGAAGGCAGCTTCGCCGTCTCTTTTCGCCCTATGAGCTTGGGAAGCGCCCGTGCTAACGCGCTGTGCATCCCTCGAGGTTGCTCCAATCAGGCGATCTCTTCCGTATGGTGCTTTCATTTTCTTCTTTCTTTAATACATTTTTTGTGATGATAGCCAAGTAGCGAGAGCCGCGGTGCGCCACAAAATAGGTCACTGGCGCCCAACTGAGACGAGAAAATCACTAAAGGACACTGCGAAAATAGCGAGAGCCAAAAGGACAACAAGCTGGACGTAACTTACGCAACTACTGCCGGCACAAGAGCTGCAAACATTAAAATAAACGCTGCGGGCAGAATATGCCGCGCATTATTATCCATAAGTGCATTATTGCAATCAGATACAGCCCAGCTGTCACACCCCTGCAAATCAAAGTGGCTTGTTTATCTACACGGAACACGCCAACTGAACATCGGTCGTGTCGCCTGATAACGCAACTACAGCGAAAAGGATGGGATGTGCTGTTTGGTCGGTCCCTCACACGGGACCTAGAGGAATTTTCGTCAACTATAATGCAATGCGTACTGCCCCGCCGCGGTGTCTAGTGGCTAAGGTACTCGGCTGCTGACCCGCAGGTCGCGGGTTCTATTCTTGGCTGCGGCGGCTGCACTTCCGATGGAGGCGGAAATGTTGTAGGCCCATGTACTCAGATTTGGGTGCACGTTAAAGAACCCCAGGTGGTCGAAATTTCCGGAGCCCTCCACTACGGCGTCTCTCATAATCATATGGTGGTTTTGCGACGTTAAACCCCACAAATCAATCAATGCAATGCGTACTGTAATACGAAACGTGACAGCAGCTATCAAGCCCACACCGCTACACCCCTGGTAACCAACTTCACGGTCAGGGGCACACGACACGGTTGCACAAAATTCGCAAGTACGCCAAAGCCGTGCGCGCAAACAAAAAAAGCCGCTTTCGAGTAAGTCTCTAAGCAACTTCGAAGCAGCGTAAACATTCAAGGCATGAGCATTTTGTCGGCAGTCGAAGTGGCCGAAGGAGGGGAAAATTCACGAGAGCTATAAGATAGGACTTACCTGGTAGCGAAATCCACAAAACTTGTTCGCTGGTCAGCTTGGCGGGAAAGCTCCGACCCAATGGTGACTCGAAGCAGTGAAGTTAACGACACCTTGCGCAAACTTCTGGTGGCATATTGTCCGACTTCACGCAACCACAGGTTAGCCGATCAGAGTAGGATAACGAATACACGCCTTGGTGTCGCAAATCGCCGTTGAACATGGTCGTTTCTAATGAGTTCTCGACCGCGACGTTCCGGCGTGACAAGCGTCCATGTTGGCAGGCGAGCGTCGTGGATGCGCGACCTTGCACGTGATCAGTCAGAGAGATGTTATCGCGAGCCGGCCCACCAACGCACGGCCGCCTTGATCGGTGCGCGCTGCGGTGTTCTGGTGTCGCGAAGGGGCCCACGCTCTGAAGAGTTTCTTGTTAAAACAATATTGAAACCATGCTTTGTGGTTGCGGTATAAGTTCGCTGTATTCGCTACACCTCCAATGTAGTACAATAACCTGTGTACTTGAGAATGAGACAGTTCATAGAAATGGTGAGGCTGTCGTAGTTAACTTTCGCATGCAAAAACATTATAAGTATACCATCAAATTATACGTACGCGCAGTTTGACTGACGAGATGAACTCACGCATTCAATTATGCAAAGCACATATACGCTATTTTTCGCCTGCGATTCCGACCACTTTTTTTATTGTGAAGCGAATAAAACAGAAAAAAAACTTCCTTACCGAGAATAAAAAAAGGCTGTGCACAAGCTCTGTTAATTTCAACGCACTTGGTTTTTTTATTTGTTGTACGCGCAATCTGACAACCCTGAAATGCTTGATGATAGGACATATGAATGTTCACATCAAAGGTATCACAATATTTCAAAAATTCCCGCAAGCTCATAACACTGGAACCCACCATTACAGCGATACTGGTTTCAACGACATATCAGTGATGATAATGAGATGAAACCACCAATGTTTATATGCTCTCTTTGGCAAAACAACCCGCTTGCGACAATGCCGCCGTGCCGCATTATCAATTATATCAAACAGGTGTAACTGTTGTGTGTTCATGCCAAAAAAAAATGGGGGGGGGTAATGCGCGTGGCGTGTAATCCTCGAAAAGAAAGAAGAAAACAAGAAATGTTTGCGTCCCAACACCCCTCTGTGATTATGAGGGACACCGTGTGGTAGTGGTCTCTGGAAATTTCACCATCTGCCGTTTAAAGAGATAATGAATCAAAATTATGAGAAGTTGACGAAAACACGGAAACTCTTTAGGAAGGCGCGCATGTTCAGCTAAACAAAGTTTACATATTGCCGCATTCAACCTGCAGAGGAGAGCTCGCACAGCCAGAGAGAAAGACGAAGCTCTTGCCCGGTCCTCTTTACGAGCGCCTTTCATTTTTAAAAAAAGTGAGCTCTTCTATATCGAACTCCTGCTGTGTCTGCGTCGTGACACTGGTGGAGGTGCTGGGTAAATGTCCAGGACACCTTCCAACAGCCCGAGATCTAGTCCACAAAGGCTTCCGCTCGTCGAAACACCCGTTCACCGCGCCAGCCGCCACCTGTTAGGCCTGAGCCCAGAGTTCGGTCCTTGGACGGAAAACATGACCGCGCCGGTAAGCAGTTGCCCCACCATGACGAGCCCAAACACGACACAGGTGACTGTTTTCACCCCTAAAACTCCTGTGGACTTCCATGGCAACACATATGAGGACGCAGATGACTGGCTTGAGGAGTTCGAGCGCACAGCCAACGTTAACGGGTGGAACGCCACACAGAAGTTGGGGTACGTGTATTTTCCTCTTCAAGACGGGGCTCGCACGTGGTTCACGAATCGCGTGTGGTCAACGTGGGACGAGTTCCGGCGGAAGTTCCTGGACACCTTTGCAAACACCGAAAGGCGGGAGCATGCACAATGACTCCTTGAATCACGGATTCAAAAGCCCAACGAGTCTGTTGCTATATTTGTTGAGGACATGGCTCGTCTCTTTCATCGAGCCGATCCCGATATGTCCGAGAACAGAAAGATCAGCCACGTCATGCGTGGTGTTAAAGAGCAGCTGTTTGGTGGTCTCGTACGGAACCCACCTTCAAGCGTCGACGAATTTACGAAGGAGGCAACCGCCATAGAACGCGCACTACAGCTACGGTACCGCCAGTACGACCGTCCAAACAACAGCGGACAAATCAGCGCAACCGCCGTGACCACTGCGACTCCTGACGAGCGTTCTTTGCGTGACCTGATACGCGAAATTGTGCAAGAAGAGGTGAAGAAGCTCACCGCCACACCGAATGACTGCGCGATGGAGTCGGTCACAGAAGTTGTTCGCCAAGAACTAAGGCAAGCGCTTTCACTTCCCGAGCCGAACACTGAAATAGTTAGGCCAACATATGCAGACATTCTCTGTCGACAACCTAGATCTAACGTGCCGCCACCTCAACAGTACCACCAGCAACAGCCGCCGACAGTGCCTTGGTATTACAGGGAAACGTCGACGCCGATGCGACCCCCACTCCGCAAAACCGACATATGGCGTACCCATGACTACAGGCCCCTGTGCTTCCACTGTGGGGAAGCAGGCCACATCGTGCGGTATTGTCCTCATCGCGTTGCCGGGTATCAAGGATTTCCGTCCACTACCCCTCGGCGCTATTTCGACGGAAGACGCAACGTTGAAACGAGCGCGACGATCCCGCGAGACGTTTCTCCTGGGTTCCGGTCACGCTCGCCCTCCCCAGGTCATTTTCCCCGATCTAATAGAGGTAGCACCACGGACATGGCGAGAGGAAGGTCTCCCAGTCCACGCCGGGAAAACTAAAAGCAGCGACCTTAGGGGGGAAGGTTGCGAATTGCCGAAGATTTGAAAATCCCCTATTACCGCCGCATGAAGTGCCACACATTCCGAATGAACCGACGAAAGACGAGATTGTCATCGCCGACATTACACTTTCAATCGACGGTCACGACGTGACCGCACTGGTCGACACTGGTGCGGTCTTTTCAATAATGAGTGCGAATCTGGCCGACCAACTCAAGAAGGTAAAAATGGAATGGACGGGGCCGCAAATTAGAGGAGCCAGGGGCCAGCTGCTGACACCTACCGGAAAGTGCACCGCACGAATCAAGATCGGGGATTTATCATTCGTGGCAACCTTCGTTATTCTTTCTGAGTGTTGTAAACAGGCCATCTTGGGTATGGATTTCCTGCGGGAGTACGGTGCCATTATAAATATACCGGATGGTGTACTGACCTTCTCAGCGGACCATAGCGCAGCGCTGCAGCGCAAGCCCATGCGCGTGATTGACGACGTGACCATGCCACCGTTGTCATGTCGCCTCGTCTCTGTCACGTGTAACACGCAGCATAGTGGAGAAGGTGTCGCGGAACAAATATCGACGCTTTTACTCTCTCGAGGAATCGCTATTGCCAGAAGTCTCGTCAGTGTACTGTCTGGGCAAGCAGAGGTCCTGTTGACAAACTTCAGCAACGAGCGTCGACACATTGCAGAGGGTACCACAGTTTCATACTTCGAAGAAATTGTAGAATGCCGCGAGTGCTTCGCAGTACAACAGGCAGAGACGCCGGTCGCTTCAACACCACTGCCTGTCGACGTGAGCGCAGATTTATCGCCAGCGCAGAGGCAGAGTCTTCTAGATATTCTCGGCCAGTTTGAATATTGTTTTTCGTCGACCTCGAGGGTAAATCAAACGCCACTGACAAAGCACTGAATTATAACGGAAGAGACGGCAAGACCAATTCGACAAAACCCATACCGCGTGGCACCGAAATAACGCGAAGCAATCCAAGAACAAGTCCAGAAAATGCTCAATGATGACATCATTCAGCCGTCAAAAATCCCTTGGGCATCACCGGTAGTGCTAGTTAAGAAGAAAGACGGCAGCTTACGCTTCTGTGTGGACTACCGCAAGCTTAACCGCGTGACACAGAAACACGTATACCCACTACCGCATATTGACAATTCACTTGACAGGCTGAGGCATGCACGCTTCTTCTCGTCGATGGACCTGAAAAGCGGTTATTGGCAAATCGAGGTCGATGAGCGGGACAGAGAAAAGACTGTTTTTGTTACGCCTGACGGGCTTTACGAGTTTAAAGTCTTGCCCTTCGGATTGTGCTCAGCCCCAGCAACACTTCAGAGACTGATGGATACCGTCCTATCAGGCCTTAAGTGGCAGACGTGTCTGGTATACCTCGACGACGTCATTGTTTTCTCACCAACATTCGAGGAACATCTAAGACGGCTGCTATTAGTATTTCGAGCAATACGGTCCGCTGGCTTATCGCTGAAACCTGAGAAATGTCATTTCGGTTTCAAGGAACTCCGATTCTTAGGACATGTGGTGAGCCATGAAGGTGTTCGTCCGGACCCCGACAAGATCGACGCCGTCCGAAAATTTCGGTGCCAACAGAAAAGAAGGCCGTAAGACGTTTTCTTGGCCTTTGTGCCTACTACCGCAGATTTATCGCCAATTTTTCGCACATAGCGTCGCCCTTAACACGCATAACGAGAGACGATGTTCCATTTTTATGGGGCGAAGAGGAACAAGCAGCATTTGACGGTCTACGACAGCACCTGCAGACACCCCCTGTGCTTGCTCACTTTGACGAGGACGCTCCAACCATGATCCACACTGATGCCAGCAACGTAGGTTTAGGCGCTGTACTCGTCCAGTGGCAAGACTCAGCCGAGAGAGTGATTACATATGCAAGTAGGACGCTTTCCCGTGCTGAGTCCCATTATTCCACAACGGAAAAGGAATGTCTTGCTGTGGTATGGGCAGTTCTGAAGTTTCGCCCATACCTCTACGGCCGTCCCTTCCACGTAGTCAGCGACCACCACTCTCTGTGCTGGCTGACCAACTTGAAGGACCCATCTGGTCGGCTAGCGCGCTGGAGCTTACGCCTACAAGAATTCGATATGACGGTCGTCTATAAGTCGGGACGACAGCACTCTGATGCTGATTGCTTATCCAGGTCGCCTATAAAGCAAGATGATGTCTCAGAAGATGATGACATGGCATTTTTAGGAGTGGTCAACACGGTCACCATTTCGTCTAAGCAGAAAGAAGACAGTGAGTTGCTCCCTCTTATTAATTTTCTTAACGGCCAGTCTACAAGCGTTCCCAAGATATTTGCAAGAAGCCTGCCATCATTCTGCGTGCGCAATGGTGTCCTATACAAGAAGAACTTTGCCCCCAGCGGAAATGCCCACTTACTTGTCGTCCCAACATCCATTCGCG